CACACACACACACACACACACACACACACACTCTTACACTTATACACAAACACTCTCACACACACACTCTCACACTTATACACACACACACTCTCACACACACACACTCTCACTCTTATACACACACACACACACTTATATACACACACACACACACACACACACTTATACACACACACACTCTCACACACACACACACACACACTTATATACACACACACACTTATACACACACACACTCACTCACACACACTCTCACACTTATACACACACACACACGCTCTCACACACACACTCTCACACTTATACACACACACACACACGGACACTTACACACACACACACACACGGACACACACGGACACTCACACACACACACACACACACACTTATTCTGGTGTGAAATGAGCGTCTGCATGTTGATAATGTGTTTATATTTCACGCACCGCCGTTACATTAAACCCTGTGTTAGACGTCAAAAACAGATGCAGACGCACTTCAATCATTTCTCATGCAGAGCTCTTGGAGCCGATCGCGTCTCTGACAATCACAATCACAGCGTTTGGCAGCGGAGCTTTACTGGGGATCGTTTGATGTTTATTATTGTGGGATTCAGTCACATGATGTTCAGCATGAGTTTCTGCATCTGAGCGCTGGATGTGTTTTTTACACTCTTTACATTAAACGACTTTAACTCTTCCAGCTCCACGTCCATGAGCAAGCACTGGGAGGCTGAGCTGGCGGCTCTGAAGGGGAACAATGCTAAGCTGACGGCGGCGCTGCTGGAGTCCACGGCTAACGTCAAGCAGTGGAAGCAGCAGCTGGCGGCGTATCAGGACGAGGCCGAGCGACTGCACAAACGGGTCCGCTTCAGCAAACATAAACCAAAGACATATCACCAGTCTTTCAGATCCGCTCACTCATCATGCCACTAGCACTAAAGCTCCTTGCACACTGAGTCCCAAATTTTCGTATGCATTTTTTCGTATGCGTATTAATCCCTAAATTGAGTCTTCAAGCAGTGAGGATGATTTTGTTGTCCTTTCGCTTCTTAAAAAGACAAAAAGAAAGGAAATATTGGGTCCATCCAATCCTGAGATATAGAGAGGAAGGAGAGTTCCACCAAACACGTGATTTTCCGTGTTTTCACGCTAGGGGGCGCTATCACGCATCTCCTGAATGAGTCTAGAAACTCTTGATCAAAAACACAGACCAGGAAGACGCAGAAACGAGCGATCTAATATGTAAGCATATGCATATGAAAAATAATGCGATCATCAATATTAACCGCATATAAATGAAAACTGACTAATGTTAGCGAGTGAAACGTGGATCCAGAAAAGTGGTGAAGGCCTGTGAAGCTTTGGGAGCGCTGATGGAAGCCATCTACTGCATCTCTGCTTTGATAATATTGCTGAATATGATCCAGATGTAGTATTGGATAAAAATGCGATTTTCTCAGCTTTTTTGCTCAGAATGTTGCTTTTTTATGAAACCTACCTACATTCAAGTGTTGATAAAAAAAACAATGCTTGAAGCTAGAATAAAACAGATTTTTTTGTTTGAAAGTAGTGTCTGATGCATGTTCAGATGTTCATACAACAAAATATTCTGGGGGCCATGAAATTTCAGTGAAAATCAGCAAAAACGCTGGCGGTGGCTGGCAACTTTTTTCAGAAGCGCTTGCTACGGATGCGACGAACACAGAAAATCGAACCCGATCCAAATTTTTTTTTATGACGGACGAAAGTTTCGGCGACTGTGTGTAAACGTGATTGAAGCAACGTGAGGTCGTTATTATTTTTCAACGTGCACAAATGTCGGACTCGTGTGCAAAGACCTTAAATCTGCAAAAAACAGAGATTGTGATGCATAGTTTTTCTGCAGCATGAAAATACATGGATTTTTACCAGATGACTTGAATAGCTCTATTTGGAAAGAATGAATCATTACTCATTAACTCCGACTGGCGATTTTAGTTCATAATTTAGAGCGCATGTGTCAAACTTCATCATTTTATATTGTCATCCACCGGCAGAAATGTAAATTGGCGCATATGCCAACGAATGTAAATCAGTATTTGCATAGCATAACAGTAATAAATGTATGTTTCGCACGTGTCCCGTAAAATCACATCTACTGCAACAGATCTATAGCCAGGTGGTCACCCTAGCGCGGAGTCATAAAATAATAATTGCTCATTTGAATCAGTAAATTTGAACGAAAACGATACATTATAAAAATGAAAAGAAGCAGGTTTTTTGCAGTCAGATCAACCGATAAACTCCTGGAAAGTCTAAGGATCCAGTAAGCGAATGCATTCAAACAATAAGTTCAGAACAGCGCTAACGCAGAGAAAACACGGCCGATGTCATCAGAGATGGCGGAGATAATCGCACTCGCGTACAGATGTCAGTAAAAACAAACAGCAAGCTATCTGGCTTAAAAGCAGGAGTGTTTTATACTGGATGCTGGCTGAAAGTGTTTTAGATTACGCAGTAGTCAGTGGTTTAGTAATTCTGGATCAGTCAGGTCAAGGTAGCTCACACCCACACACACACACACACGCGCACACACACACTCACACACACACACACACACACACAGAGACACACACACACACACACACACACAGATACACACACGCACACACATACATACACTCACTCACGCACACACACACTCACTCACGCGCACACACACTCAGACCCACACACACACACACTCACACTCACACACACACTCACAGAGACGCACACACTCACACTCGCACAGAGACACACACACACACACACAGTTTTACACTGACTCCCTCTGGTCTCGGATCACACACAGACTGCTGATCCAGCAGATGTGTGATTACACAGAAAACCTCGCTGTGCTTTCTGACTCTTCACATGTTTGGCTCACGCAGGTTTTCTATAAAAACGTCACAAACTGAAGATCCGGGCGCGACAGCTGCGTTTATCTGCTACTCTTCCACTCTTGAACTTCCTCTGAACTCTGAGCAATACGAGCGAGAAACAGAATCAGGTATCTGACGTCTCACACGCACCTGCGAGGACACTTTGCTTTCCGAACACTTTGAGTGGACGGCACTGAGCTCACATCACACGCTTTCTTCTGGGGCTTTTAGCTCTTTATGAAGAGCAACGGTTTACTTCCGTCTGTATGATTTCTGGTTATTTATTGTAAAAAAAAAAACTAAATTATATCTGTATATTCTAATCACAGTGGCTGCATTAAGTAGTTATTTCAAGTATAAAGATGTTTGTTTTTTATTATTATTTGCAATGTGGAAATATGGTTGTTTTTTAATGTGGAGATAAACTGGCAATATTTTTGAACTCTTTGAGTATTTAAAAGGGAAACCATGCCATTAAATAGGAGTTAATTTAGCAGAAAGCTGTTCTCTTGTGCAGATGAAGTTGCCTTTGGTACTGAGATGCATCACGTGATCACGCTGAACCTCAAGGGCTCGCAGCAGCTCGATGGGCTCGTTTCTGACACACTGGATGGCTTTATTATTATTATGTTTGATTTATGAAACCTTTGAATAATTGAGAATATTGATTATTCCACACACTTAAACACAATTGTAATTCTGAGTTTATAGTAAAATTAAAGAGTAAAAATGGCCAACTGTGTTGTTTTTCTCTTTTGTGCTCCTGTGAAGCACATCAGAGGAAACGGTGTTCTGCGTACAGAGCAGCTTCAGGATTGTTCTTCATTATTTTCATGGAACGTTCCTCAGGACTGTACTGTAAATGCCACCGTTGTTACTGTATCTGGACGTCTGTTTATGTATAGTTTTTGGGTGAAATCTGAGTCATGTGACTTCTGAAGACCTGGATAATGAGCTCCGAACACACGGACGCCGGGAATGCAACCGTTACGGTGAGGTTTGTATAAGAGCAGCTTGAACATTCGGCTGAACTTCTGCTTTTGTGTTCAACAGAGTACAGAATCAGCTGCACCTCTGTATGAGAAATACTGCAAAAAAGTATATTTTTGTCTCTTATTTTACAGTAAAACATATCTAAATTCATAGATCGAGATACGTTTACTGCAGAAGCAAAATACATTTTTATTTATATAA